ACATTTTTTACCAATTAAAAAAAAAATTTATTTAAATTTAAAAATATGCACTTAAAATGATTATAACACTATAATATAGCACTAACGCTTGAAAAAGAGTAAAATGTGCAAAAAAAAAAATTATTGTTGACTCCTGGTTTATTAAACAGATTTCTATATCACAGCTATGTTTTTAATGTATATTAGAAAACTTGCAAGCTCCTATATATATGTTTAATGTATTTGTTTTTAGAAAATGGTGTGTCGAATTCTTTACCTGGAGATACTTCATCAAAAATCATTCAAAAGCCGTCCAAATTGGAGGCTGAAAACTGATTTAATAAAGCGTAAGTATTTGATTACGTAAAAAAATTAAAAATAATATTTTGTATAACATTTGTATTATTATGAATATATATTTAGAATTTTTTAAAATACGCCGGCTTATAAGTAAAAACAAATAACTTATAGCAAGTATCAACTCAAGATTTTTTTTACTTTGTAAATATTGGCAAGTGAGAAAAATGTTGAAAAACGTGAAGAACGGCGCTAAATTTTAGTCATTATTATTAATTTTTACGTATTGTTTTTATGTAGTTTTTATTCTTTATTTTTGTAAATTATTTGCAAAACATTTTGTTATCTGAAGGCGCCCACGGATTATATTACGTTATCCAATTTGTGAACATCGAAAGACTGATATTTAAAGTGTTGCAACAAACAAATCACTATCTGATAATTGTTTGTGCAGCTATGGTGATAATAATTAGCTATTAACGTTATTATATTTTTAAATCAAATGAAAAAAAATAATATGAATCGTTATCCTTTGACTGCTGTCCAAAAGTATTATTGTCGCGGTGATTGTTTTTAATCGTATTTTTGTAATTTGTTATCCCAGATACTTTTATAATTTCGTAATACTTACATGATTTTTAATTGCATTTACAAGCATGAATATGCCTATTTAATATCGGGCAATTATAAAAATAAGGGCCGCCAAATATAATAAAAATTTATTTGTGTAAAATTATATATCTAATATAATATATATTATATTTTAATACATAAATATCTTTATGGAGATGTATCTCATCCTGGACAATTATAAAATAATATATGACCACTTTAACCCATTCTAATATGTGACTTATACAAAGAAAAATTAACATTAAAAGTGTTTCGTCTTAATTTATGACGCTAAAAATAGGCAGATATCGTGCAGTTCGATAAACAATAACCTGCTGCCAAAGTAACTTATTACCATCATCAATTATCTTACTTTGCTCTCAGAAGTAAAATTGCATAATGATTGTTAGTGTTTTTGTGTGTGATTAAATGATTATTATTTTCACAATTTTACTTTTCTTTATTGAGTATAATTAGCATTTTTATTTTTTATCTCTACAAACTGATAAATAAAACTTACATATTTGTTTTCATTAACACTAGAAATTAGATTTTTCTTAGATTATAATCATTTAATTATGTTTTAATTAACAATATATTTAAATCAATATTAATAACATAATATAATATGTATTCTATATATTTTTATTTATCTTTTTCCATATCTTGATAAATATTTTCAAATACCAACTAATTTTTTTCTCACATTAAAATTGGTTATAGTACAATCTTAGATATTATCTTTCAATTATATTATTAATCATTATATACATGCATTATTAAATTTAATTGCTCTAAAATTATTAATTGTTGTCGGCCCTTTAAATTTCAAATTATATTCACATTTTCGTAATCACTATTTAAATTATAATTAAACCAATATAATTATATCATTTCAACAATAATATTTTTTAAGCATTAGATGTAAGAAATTAACTGTTGTGAAAAGTTGAAAAAATTAATTATTCTTTTTATGTTTTTTATTTTTTTATTTTAATCATATTTATATCAGTGTCATGATTTTAAAAATATCCTATCATGGATCTATTCAAAATATTTCAATGTTAAATTCATGTTAATTAAATGGTATGTGTTAAGTATAGATATCTGTATTGGTGTTATACCAATTCAATATTAAATATGATGAAATTATATATTCATTAAAGTGATTGTGAATTAAATGAATTGTTTAACTATTAATTTTTATTATTATTGTTATTGAACTATACAGCTAAGTTTAGCCTATTCATGTTTATGATTTTACTTATATACCTAGTTGAATGGTTTAATTAATGATTTGTGAAATCTATTAAGTATTGAACTAACAGTGATAGTATTAGACTATTAAATATCAATTATCATGAGTTATGTATCATATAGTAATAGATTCAGTCAAGCGCAAACATGTTAAAGGACTTCTGAGTTTAAATCTTACATAGTTATATAATATACTACTGTTAGGCTGGTACAAAATATATTTAAGTTCATAATTTATGATTCATAAATTAGCCAACTACATTTAAAAAGAAAAAAATGCAGACATTTTTTTCCCATCAATTAGGTAGAATTGTACCATAGTCAATGTGCAAATGCTTTTAAATTCATATTGACGTTTTATTTTTAAACACTAGAAATTTTTCATATTAAAATAAAATTTTTTTTTTTAATTTCAATAGCTTTTAGTCAAAGGCTTATACATATTATTATAGAATTTACATTAAGCATTATACATAAATAATAACATAATATAGCAATAGTGTTGTAAGGGTTCAACCGCGATGTATCGTAAACAGTCAATAAGATAAAAATAACAATTGAGTTAATTAGATAAATTGAACTATGGACTATATTGTTCATGTAGAACGGCTGTAAGAAGGGAAAGTAGAGGATTAATTATTAATGCGGAATGATTTGAAATAAATTTGGGAAACGGTTTATCGTTAATGGAGTTGTCAGGAAATGGAGTATTATTAAAATCTGTAATGTAGGCGTTAGATGCTTTAGGAGGGTGTGGTGGTATTTTAGGTTTTGATGATTTGAACGATGATTTGCTATGCGTTTGAGCAGAGCTTTGAAATTTGGATAGCCTTTGTAGCTGGAAGTATGAGCGCCAGCCCAGAGGGCACACTTGGCTGGACTATTTTTGTCTTGGGTGCAAATGTCTGAAGAGTGATCATCCCCACATTTGACACAACGTGAGGGATAATAGCAATAGTTGGCGGCGTGTCCACAAGACAATTACAACACTGGGGTGGACCACGCGATTGGTCTTATAAGTTATTTCTATTTTAATTTTGGTATGCAACAATGATGACAAATTTAATGCTTCTTTGTAATTTGTCTTGATTGTAAATATTAAGAGCCTTGGAGTCGGCATATTTTCAGTACAAAAACATGTCTTACAGGGAAAACTCTCATGCACTGTAGAGCGTAGAATGGTCGAATTTAGTTATTTTTTTTTATTTAAAAGGAGAACATTTTACAGGTCTGGATTAAACCCCGATTTGCAAAATTATAGTCATAGAAGCTAAAATATCCATTTGAACAATTCACAATATTTGTTTTTAGATTCTCAGCGGAGCAATGAATATATATTGATTTTACAATAATGTTATACATGTATATATGTTTTTTCATTTATTTTTGTGTCCTTCGTCGCGGTTTGGGGTAGTAAAAGTGTTCTTCAATAGCAACTTTTATGGTAGGAAAATGAATCTAATTGGTGCATTCGGGAGATCAACATTTAAAATTCCCTATAGTATTTAAAAGTGACAGGAAAAATAAACAAAAATTAAAGAAAAACGGGAATTTTTACGTAAAATTCTGTTTTCGAAAAAAATTGATTTTGGTTTTTAATGTAACTTAAAACAATTATCATAGATACATGACATTTTCACCGAATGTATGTGTTAGAATTTTCTTCTATAGGTAAGTGCATCATGACATTTTCTAAATATTTTTACTCATGTTGAACTATTTATAGGCGTATGAAATTTTCGATTAATGTCTATAGAAAAAAAACTTGAAAATATAATACAAGGTTTTTCATAAGTTATTGTTAGTGGAAATTAAAAAAAAAATTCGAGCATAAGTCAACAATGATGTTTTATGAGCGTCTGAATTTCAAATTTTCCTGCGATTTGGGGAATTTTAAAGTTGAACCTTCCGAACGCACCAATAAGATTCACTTTTCTATTGGAAAAGATATTAGAGTTGAAAATCGAATCATTATTTCAACCACTTATCGTTACAGATACAAAAATCAAAAAACAAACGTTATTGTAAAATCTAAATACGTTCATCGTTCCTCTCAGAATCTAAAATGGATGTTTGTCCTGTATAGTCTCAAAAACTACCTTCTGGACTGATTTCAAAGTTATTAGAATTCGTTTTTCAACACATGTAGGTCGTTACACTTAGGTGATTCTTGTATCACGAACCACTCATTATTTCAAAAAGTATAAATAAAAATAAAAATTAAAAACTGAATTTAAGACAAGTATTTACTTGTTTAAGTGTTTAACGAGGTATAGATGAGCGGATTAGTGGATCAACATTTTGCGGGGTAACCGTGTAAAAACTCATACAAAGATGAAGACATGAAGATTTTGACGCAGTAACGTACCTATATTGCCTATACGATACGCCGTGCAATATACATTTCGCCCAAGACCCGTCACGAGCCATTTTTTTGGAATTTCAACCCTTAACTATAAAAATTAAAAATAATTTGAAAGTCTTCTTGATTTTGACACAATTCGAACTTTAAATCCTTATAAAAAGAAATGTTGCCTATGGATCTTTAATATTTCTCTACTTCTATAGTTCTATACTACTTATGATTATAATTACTTATATAATATTAATAACAAAACAACAAATTTAATTTATCAAAAACTTGGCCTTACCTAAAAATTCTCAATTTCCCCTAATATTTTTTGAAAAGTACTGATAATTTTTTCCTCGTGTTACCAAAAATAAACCCTCAGAGTGGAAATCAAAGCATTTTGTTTGAAAAAAGAATTTAACCAGAGTAAAACTGAAACTATTTGTTCTATATTTATGTATTAAAATAAATAAATATTATACTTTACAAATAAGAATAAATATAAACTCAAAAGTAAATGTAATATATTACATAATTGTACTGATGTATTACACTTAAAATAAGTACCTACTTAGTAAAGACCAAGGAGAAAGATAGTACATTTATATTCTAACATAGCTTAAAAATATTTTATTTACAAATAACAGGATTTTACATTAAAAAATAATTATCACATTCTTCCTCTACCTCTATTCAAACAAGGATTGCCTTTTCTTATTCCTATAGGTATTTTACATTTAGGTGGAGGAGACTTTGGTCTAAGGACCTCAATACGATCAGTACAACCGGTTGTTAATTGACCATTGTTGAAATATCCATTATACATTTCAGTGTTGAAATTAGAATTAGTCAATTCAGGTCCTAAAGTCAGCCATCCTGGACGTATAGTACTGTCGCGACCAAACAAATGTAATCTAAGGGAAAAATAACAATTTAGCAAGTAAAAAATAGGATTAAAGATAGAAACCAGAAAATTAAAACCACAATCATTTTTGAATAAAAGATTTTAACATATTTATTGGATAAAATACCTTCTTTTTCCTAGGCAAAAATGTTCAATGATATGAAATATTTCAACAGGCTTTTCTATTGAACCGTGTTCATTCTCTTCACTAATAATCAAATCAATATCAACATTAGCGTGAATATAGTCACCATCTGTAGATCGACGAACTGTTCCCTTGATGCCCATCAAGCAATGTTCCTATAATTTATAAAATTAGTTAAAATAATCTATGACAATAATTAAGAATAATTATTGTTATTTGAATAATAGTTAACCTTAGTGCGTTGAAAAACAGCATTTGGTTCTAGATTTTTTGAATGTCCAGGATTTTTAGAATTTGTTCGAATCCAACAAATATCCTCACAGCGCCTAAAACCCCATCGTCGTAAACAGTCTCGGCCTTTATCCAAACCATCAGATGAACCACACCAGAGAAAAATAAAACTACGATTAGCAGCTAATTCGCCTAACTCTAAGTCCATTATCTATTCAAATTAAAAAAAGCATAAATGATTATTATGTTTAGGTATAATAATATTATGCAATGAAATAAAATATACATAATAATAAAGCTTTACAATGGAAAAAATAAAAATGCAACTCAGGTACTCCTCTCAACAAATTAACTATTAAGTACTTAAATTAAGTTTATACATCAATAAAATTAACCATATGATAAAACGGTGAGAGTTCATGAAAAGATATCAAAGCAAATTAATTAAATAATTAATAAATTGATTTTATTTTCATTGTTGGTCTTTTTGGTGTATACGATAGCTAATATAGTTCGTAATGAGAAAAGATTAAAATATAAAGATAAAAAAATGGAATTACAAGTACATTTGATTTTTTAATAGATACTCCGCATAACTACTGAGTTGAAACCTATAATATTAATAGGCATATCATTTTTTAATAAATAAGAATTATGATTCTAAGTGGTTATGTTTTAAAGTATTGTATTTATTAAGAAGACTAACCTGTTTCCAATTCCATAGTTTTGTATTGGTTACACCCAAGGTTCGTTGATATTCTTCAAGTGGAGGCTCAACAAGTATGACATCAAATTTTATGTTTAATGATTTTAAATTATAAGTGCTTAGGTCACATTTCAGAAACATTGGAGGAGTAGCAGTTTGTTGTATAAGTTCATCCTATTAAAAATTCAAAGTACTTATGTATAATAAGTATTTTTAGGAAATGTATAAAATAATTGTTTGATTTCACAATTATACTATAGAAAATAATATAACATAGGTACATGCGATTTGTAAACCTATAAGTATTAATTTCTGATATAAATAAAAGATTTATTAAGCTTAAGTTAATTTCTTAATTTTTTAAGTTTAAAAAATCTTATACACCCTATGTTTGCGGAAACAGAGTACACTTTATCACTAATTACCAGGTAATTAATTTTCAATTCTGTTTGTGGGACATTCAACTAGACTAATGAGTAATGACTAATGGATCATACATTTCTATGTCATCTATAGAATTAATTTTTAGAACTCAAGTATTTCAAACATAAGCAACAACACAACTGCATTATTTTTAAAAGGTAACCCCAATTTCAAATATTTTTTTTTCAAGTAATTTGTATCTATTAACTTATATTTTAATTTCTAAGGCCTGAAATTGGCAAACCAATTTAAAAAACCAATTAATTAATTAACTAAATCGTTTTTTTTTTTTTTTTAAACAGTACGTATATTTTCCTTCTATTTTCTCAACACTATGATTACAATATAATGAATAATAATAAAATTAAAATACTAATTCACAAAAAGTAATTTATTTATTATTTTAATCATAACAAGTTTGATTGTATTATGGTGTTTAGAAGGAACATTTAAAAAAATGAAGTTGAGTCGCGCATGTACAAAATATAAGAGCTTAAAAAGTTGTAAGTCTCAAAAATGTATGATCCTTTAATTTAGACGAATGTCCCACAAACCGAATTGAAAATTATTTACAGGGATATGAGTGATAAAGTGTAACCTGTAGCCGTGGACACACGGTATATATATATATGAATATATTTATTTATACCTTTAGACGAATTAACTCCCTTAGCTTAGGATATTCTTCAAATCTGTCAGTAAGGCCCACATCTCTTATAAAATTTTGAGGGCGTTGACCGGTATCAACAAAATGTTGACAATAATCATTGTGTGGATTAGACGATTGTGTACCTTTGAGAAATGTTGATGAATCATTGTATGTATGTTCAGGACTCTTTGGTTGGGCATTCAATTTATTTACTACTTTGCGAACGGAACTCGTTGGTGTGCCCTCCCTATGAGTATTCAAAGCTTGTCGTAACTGTTGAACATCAGAAAATCCCAACTACGAATAACAATGTAAAAAAAATACATCACGTATATATTATTTTTAATCAAATATTTCGTTTAGTTTACCGTTTTGGCCAATAACTTTTTTCTTTTTTTAGATTGTTCTTTTAACATTCTCAATTTTTCACTCATGATTGACAATTCTGTTTGTAACCGAAGGCAAAATAAATGAAAGAATTATCGTTATCAATGAGTGCTATGATTTATAGGAAAAACGTATAACATCAAAATCAGACATGAAATAAATTATATCCTCCACTCTCGGTTTCGGGATTTAAGAAAACGGAAAAAGATAAAAGAGATTACATTTAATCTATTATCTAAATTATATATTTATAATTATTTATTTCAATTTTATTTATCACGTGCTTACCGCAATGAGTTACCCCCGGCTACCTTCCAATCCTATGGTTTACCGTTTATCGTGAAGTTGCTTAGATAATTGCCAACCTAATTCTAAGTTAAGATTTTCAAATATTATTTAAAATTGTATCCCAAAGTAATTTGCTATAAAAAATTAAATGTTTGCATCAGCCATCAAGTTGTTTTCGTTAAAAAAATTATTCATATTCCCTACGAGATAAAAATAATTTCGTTATTTAATTTATCCATTATGAAGTTAATATTTTGATAAGTATATATCACGTGTTTATCACGAACACACTGTAATTTTTTTTTTATTAATAAATAAACAAAATACAATTTTATTCTCGCTTAAAATTACCAATTTTTCGCATTTAAGTTACCGAGTAATAAATAATATTTGTTTGAAAATTTTTTTTCAACCCGAATTTGTGTGTTTGAATTATTAATTTGTTCCTTTTAGTTTTGTTGTTTGTTTTATAAAATTTACCGAAATGAACGGCGAATGCAAGTTGGATTATCGCGAAGCGGACATCACCCATGCCGAGCGGATGAAAGAAGAAGCGAATGTTCATTTCTCTGCCAAACGTTATGCAGATGCCATCGACTTCTATTCCAAAGCAATTGCGATGTGCGAAAGTTCGTCGACGAAACCTCACAATTTCGCCGCGTACTACGCAAACCGTAGCTTCGCTCATTCCAAAACCGAAGCATACGGTTACGCCTTGGCCGACGCGACCAAAGCCATACAGCTAGATCCCAAATACTTGAAGGGATACTATCGCCGTGCAACGGCGTATATGTCGCTCGGTAAGTTTAAGGAAGCGCTAAAAGACTACGAGGTTGTCGTGAAGGCGTTGCCCAACGACAAGGACGCCAAAGGCAAGTACACCGAATGTAACAAACTCGTCAAACGGTTGGCCTTTGAAAAAGCCATATCCGTTGAAGACACCAAAAGCGTTTCCGAACAAATAGACATTGAATCGATGAATATCGAAAATGATTATAGCGGACCGAGTTTAAGTGACGGTAAAGTCACTCTCGAGTTCATGAAAGAACTCATTAAGACTTACCGGGAACAGGGTAAGTTGCATAAAAAACACGCTTACAAGATACTGTTGGATGTTAAAAAATATTTAGAAAAACAACCAACTCTTGTTCACATAAATATTAAGGCTGATGAGAAATTTACTGTATGTGGCGATATTCATGGCCAGTACTACGATCTGTTGAACATATTTGAATTGAATGGTTTACCATCAGATACAAATCCTTATTTATTTAATGGAGATTTTGTCGACCGAGGATCGTTTTCGGTTGAATGTATTTTCACGTTGTTTGGATTCAAACTCCTCTTTCCTGACAAATTCTTTATGTCTCGTGGTAACCATGAAAGTGTTACCATGAATAGAATGTATGGATTTGAAGGCGAGGTAAAGTCTAAATATTCAGTTGAAATGGCTAACCTTTTTACAGAGGTTTACAACTGGCTTCCTCTTGCCCACTGCATCAACAGACGTGTTCTAGTTATGCACGGCGGATTGTTTTCCAAGGATAATGTTACACTAAAGGATATTGAAAATATTTACCGAAATAGGCAACCACCAGAAGAAGGTTTGATGTGTGACATGTTGTGGTCAGATCCTCAAGATGCTCCAGGTCGTTCTCCGAGTAAACGCGGTGTTGGAGTACAATTTGGACCAGATGTTACCAAAACATTTGTTGAACTCAACAACTTAGATTATATTATCCGTAGCCACGAGGTCAAAGCTAACGGATACGAAGAAGCACACGATTCCAAGTGTATTACTGTGTTTTCTGCTCCAAATTATTGTGATACAATGGGTAACAAAGGAGCATTCATCACACTCGAGGGACAATGCCTTAAGCCAAAGTTTACAACATACACAGCTGTATCTCATCCACCTGTGAAACCTTTAATGTATGCAAACTCTTTAGTAAACTTACTCTGTTAGCCGAATAAAACTTTTTTTGTAATTTATATACAAGTTATTCTTGTTGATTTGTTTGCCTTACTCAAAATAAAGTACATTTTTGTAATTATTTTTATTTTTAATCAAAAGAGATTTAAGTAGGTTTAAAAATACATAATCATAAGAATTTTTTTTATTGTTGACGCACGACTGAACGGCTTCGATTTGGGGTATTTGGTATTTTATTAAATCGCCGCAAAATGGCAGTCAGTCTGAATCCGTTTCGGAAAGTTGAAGATCTTCATCTAAAATACGTCCTGGATCTACTAGACGACCTTTAAAGCCTAAAATAAAGGATACATGTTTACATAAAAATTTTAAACAAACTTTAAATGAATTTAAATACCATTAGTGTTTGGCGAATTAAAAATTGGTGAAGGGTGTTTTTCTACAGTTTTTTGAGAAACAGGAGGAGGAGGAGGTGTTGTTGAATCATCACTATCACTATCTGATGAACTACTTGATCCAGAATCACTAGATGATTCGCTAAGTTCTAAACTTCTAGCTGCAGGGACCAAATCATCATAGGACTGTAAAATTAAAAATAATTAATTAGTAACATAATGTTCAATATTATATTATGATACAAAACAAAAATTTTATAAAATATATTTCAATACTTAAATTTTGTTCTATGTATCTAATCTAATCTAATTCATAAAAAATAGTTATTAAATATTTTGAAAACTTATTAGCTATATAAGTAATTTAATATTTAATTTCAAGTACCTAAAAAGTAAACAGCTACAAATTCGTTTAAATAAATATATATTAAAATATAACTTTGTAAAATGTATAAGAGTTGTTTAAATTTTGTTGTAAAAAAGATGTTTAATAAAGAAAATTATATATATATATAAATATCTAGATTATATATAGTTTTGTCTATTTATTGTGGATAGAACACAGTATAAAAACAAAAATATATTTTATGCCATGTCTTTTAGACAAAATGTTATTTTTGTAAATCTTAAGAAAATGTATAAGTTCCATAAATAAATGTCATGTAAAAATGTTGATGATCAAAAAATCCTAATAGAAAAACAAATTTATTAGCTAAACAAAAAAAAAATATAAATATTTATATTACACTTAATATACCAAGTGTTGCTATATTAAAAATGGGATTATTGGTTGAAAAGAACTCGAAGCATTGTGTGGCTAGTTTTGGTGTAGTAATAATTTTTTGAATTGGACACCATAGCATAATATTCCAGACTCATATCAAAGATAAAAATTTTAATTTAAAATAACAAATTCCATGTTAATTAATAGGCTTTGACAAATGTTATAAAATGTTGACTGAAATGAATAGGAATGATACCAAGTCATATACAGAGTTAAAGAGCAGTATATAAGGTTTAGGTAGAGGTGGGAGAAGGAATATGTCAAATATACAGGACATCCTAGAATTTTAAGACAATGTTTGTATCTCAGTGGTAAAAACCTCCTTCCCAGATTCACTTGATTTAACATCTTGTGAATTTCATTTACTTTCAAAATTGAAGATAAAAGTGGCAGATCCCCTAAAAAGCCTTGGCATTTTATTACTTTTAGCATTGCTTTAAAAAATAGAAGACATTAGCAGTATCCAAAAATCCTAGTTACTTATAACTAGTGTATAAAAGTGGATCATCATTTAATAGTATAATAAATTATTAAAAGTAATATATAATTAATACAGAAATCTTATTTTTAAATAGCTACGCTTTACACGATTTAAATTGTCAAAAAAATATAGTAAACTATGCATATAAGACAAAATATAAATTAAGCAAACAAATACAACAAGTGTTTCATTGATTTTTTACCATGCTTTTGGTAAAGATAACTTTAATAGCTGGCACTTAACAGAATAGAACATCAACACCGCTTAAAAACAATACTTGTTTAGTAATTAAAAATTCACTAAAATACTTAAGGCCCAATAAATACCAATTACCAATTGGTGTCCAAAAGATTTTCTAATTTCTAACGGCAGTTTAGATTTACTTACCGTGGCTATTTAAAATTAGTTAATTTTTGTGATAAAAACATAACATTGCAATTTTGCATTTTTACATGTCATATTTAAACATGAGATAAAAAATTTACTCATGAAAACCAGTGGTGCGTATCTAATAAAAAAATATTTAAAATTTTATAAATACTAAAAAAATGTAAAGCAATTGAGTATTATTTGAACAACATAGATAACGAAGAAGTAAGGACACTATTTGTTTTCTCTCTTTGATTCTTACGCCACTTGACACATTTTTGTTCAGTAAGGCCAATCTTGTGATGCTAGCTTTAATATTTAAGTGAACTGGTTTATTACCAAATTTTAAGTTAAGAAAATTATTTGGGTTTGTATGTTGACCTTTTTATAATATTTCAATTTGTCTATGATATACTGACACGTGAGCATTTTACAATTGCAATATTTTACATTCTAATAACTTGCATTACAAATTAAATATCTTTAAAAAAATAATGTTCCTAACATTAAGTTTGATAATAGGATAATTCACTCTAATATTAACAAAATATCTGTTTCACATGGGTTAGATAGAAAACCAATGTGTAAACCAATCAGTGCACTAACACTTTTAATGATTACTTTAAGGATTTAAAAGTAAAAAGTTGTAAAAAATGGTGAAACTATTTCATAATAATTTTTTTATACATATTTATAGTATTTTTTTAATATAATCATCAGTTAGAAAAATTTTAAATGAAAACTTACTTCTGTTTTAATGTCGGTCTTTATGTCCGTTTTGATATCAGATAACGAAAAACTGGGATGTGCTTGGGAATCAAACCCAGTCATTGAGCAATCATCATCATTTAATAATGGAAGACTGGAAGACATTGGAGATTCCGACCTTTAATAAAAGAAATTCAACTTTATATAAGAATAATAACATTTTTTTATCAATCATAAAAACTATATAATAATGTAAAAAATGTTATTTTAGTTATTATTATACTCATATGCATCATAGTTACATGAAAAATTGCGGCGATTTATTCATATGTTGAGCATTATTTGGTGGTGACAAATTTGCCACTTTGGGTGACTGAGAAGCTTTTTTGGGAGATTTTTTAACTTGTTTTTTTTGTTGTATTTTGCCTTTCAATCGTTTATCTACAGTAGCTGTCCTATTTTTTTCTGATAAAACTGGATTTATCTGTACTATAGGTTTTTGTGGTTTCTCAACCGCATTTCTGAAAATTGTTTATACATATTACAAATCAATAATTATTTAAACTTAAATAAATTATAGTCAATATTTACCTAGTTGATTTGAGTTGTACATTAGTGGTGAGTTTTTCTAATGTTATTTCTCCAGTCGTATGGTCTATAATGAGAACACATTCTTTTGTGTAATCCTTGTGAGACCCTTTATACACTGTTTGTGCTGCACCAGCACCATCAAAGTTGGGTAATGAAACTGTGACTTCACGATTTGCAGAACTTATATCAACACTAGCTGGTTTGTTTATATCTACACTTGCAGGTTTAAAATCATCTGAAAATGATTTATTTGAGTATTGTGAGATGGGTTTATACATTTTAAAAATTAATAAAAAATAAAAAATGCCCAGACGTAATAATATATACATTTTAGGAACTTGTTTTTGATCAGTGTTTATATCTATGAATTATTATAAAATAATTACTTTCAAAATCATGAACACTGTAGTGCACGCAACAGTGGATATTCATTATAATCTGATCCATACGCATTCAGTATATTGTATATATAATGACTTCCAGACCTATCTAATTTTTTTGTAGGAAAACTTTTACTTGTCTTAGCTGCAGATGTAATATTTTAAGCATACTACAAGTGTATTTGAGTCTGGGACCAAATAGATTCGATTCAGGCTAACGGAATCATAATTAATCGCACGTAAAGTGTTGGTAGGAAATAGTTACCTATTAGTCAATATTGTTGAAGGTAAACAATTTAATATTTATAAAAATGTACTTACATCGTAACGTATGGAATCCAGGACCTTTTCCCGAAAACGTCGAGCCGAGTTTAAGTTCGGCTGGCTCACTGCCGAATGATTCCAGTGAATCAAATAATTCATCGTCCATTAGATACGTGTCGTTTACAAACGAAAGAGTTGAAATGAACAAATCACTAGATCAGTTCAGTGAACGATTCTACAATCTCCATTCACCGAATATGTCACGGGTCGTTCTACCGAATCACGTAAACGTTTCGCGACATTACGGAACGGACACGGTGCTATTGATAACATCAGTGCGGTGGTATTGATACGTCCGTTATCTAGTGAAACGTTGCGACACGCGCGGAACGTAGTCGAGTATCAGTAACATTTGTATATATTTTCTATGCATTTGACGTAGAAATAAATACGCGACAGCCGCGGCAGCACTCCGTGTGGTGGTGAGATAACCATTATCAGTCACGATAACGGCCTCGATAATAATGTTTTTTTGCGAATATTGTTCTGTGGTGGTCACGATTTAAGATAGTATCTTAAATCGTGGTGGTGGTACGGACCATGGCCAAATACCACTTCTTTATTCTCTTTGGAAAACATTAAGTCTTATCACGATGTAGATAAATAACTATCGACTCCTGGGTTTAATTTACCATTCAAATTCCATAACGGCTTACAAGTTACAGTATTTATTATTTTGCTATCATAGCATGATCCTATTTCATAATTCAGTAATTCAATATTTATTATTTTCATATTACATGACAATTTGCCAAAGTAAATTTATTTTATCATCGTCTATTTAACTCATAGGTCTGCGAAAAATTGAACATTTGAACCTCAGTTAATAAAAAACAGTCAATCTGTCTAAAAGGCGACTTGAAATTTTGTTTGTTTCACTTTGTCTCTCACATTGGACAGGTAAATAGCCATTGCTTTAAATAATTTTATTAGTATTTAATGATGAAAACGTACACAAGAACCACGAATCAGGGTTCAAAAAAAAAAAAATTTTAATTTTATGTACAGTGTTAGTTGTTTTTTTAAATTTAAAAGGTGAAGGAAGTGTCCGCATTGGCAATGGACATAAAACGCCTCACGGGTGAATTTTAATATTTTATAACATATAGTTTGTGGTTGGTAACGGAATTGTATAATGTCAAACATTTAAAACTGTTTAAAAACAGGAGTGTTGGTAAGTTGATTTTCAAAGATAGGATGTTACTTTAGAAACTGGAACTTTAGTGAATGTCTGCGTTTAGCCAGGAATGCTTCTGTTGATAATGGATACAATTTTCCTACCTTCTTACTTCTATTTGAATATGTAATTGTATATAAAATGGTGTTTGGTTTTTTTTTATGTCCAGTAAAAATACACGGTGAAACTTATGTTTTACATTCACTGTTAATAAAATAACACTCAATCCAGTGGCAAAGTTAATTTATTTTACTGGGGGAAATCCTAGATATTGACTACCACCATTAATTATCTACAATTTATTCTAAACATGTCTATTTAGTAGACCAAACATGTCTAGGTACTGCGTAATGGGTTCAAAACATACATTATTACATTCGTCATATAGTTCTATAAGTATAATATTATAATATTGTATATTATAACCTCCACTGGCTAGGCTACTCGAATTCACCGACCCCCATGTACAGACATACTAACCGAGAAATTATTTATATGGTGCATATCCCCCCTCCCCCTTTGTGGTAGGGGATTTGTGCTGCTGTTCTCAATGAGACTGAAATAAATTACCATTAACTTGTGTTTAATTGTACCTATTCAAAGGTATTAACTAGAACAAAGTCTAGATTAATTTCTTCATGTTTACTTTTAGTCACCATAGTATATTTTACCATAGTATAACCAAATTAAAATACTAATTATTGTAGGTAAACGTTTCATTACAAATTTTTTTATTTGTATATTAATAATTTATAAATGGTGCTGAGTAATTGATACTATCTTATTTTACAAACAAATATTATGTTTAGGTATACATTTATAATTATTTTTTACTTTTGTAAATACCCTATTACAAAGGCTCTGGAAGTTTATGCATTTGTATATTTATTTTATATTATTATCAGAATAATTAAATATTATAACATTACATTACATGGATATAGTAATGTTCACACTAATGTCCATTTACTTGTCACACAATGATAAGGTTCAAATGTATGTGTAATATGGACTGCCTATGTTGACTCCTTACAACCTGCTATTTTCCAACCCCCTTAAAACATAATAATATTATTGTTTGTAATAAATTACCATTGTGTTTTGACTTAACACTGTATGGCTGCTTAGATATAAATTATAGTATACTTATTCACGGATTTTAACAGTTTTTTTTTATTGTTTCAGTTTGTATTTTTGTAAATCTTCAATTATATTCTTAAAATGGCTGTGATTGAAGAAAAACATGAAAACGGATTCAAAAATGAAGTTGTTCAACACATAGAAAAAACAATGAAAGACATTTATTCCAAACGACTTTCAAGTCCTCAGTGGAAAATAAGTGATTTTGAAATTGGAACACCTCTTGGTCGTGGAAAATTTGGTCGTGTGTATCTTGCAAGGGAAAAAAATACCGAATATATGGTTGCTTTAAAAATGATGTTTAAATCAGAATTAGTAAAAGATCACATGGAACATCAAGTGCGACGAGAAATTGAAATTCAAACACATCTTAGTCATCCCAACATTTTAAAATTGTTGACTTATTTTTGGGACGAAAAGAAAATATATTTAATTTTAGAATTTGCCCAAGAAGGTGAATTATTTAAAGTATTGAACGCTCAGCCACATAAACGTTTTGATGAACCAACAGCTGCATACTATTTAAGACAAGTAGCTGAAGCTTTAAGGTATTGCCATTCACAAAGTGTTATTCACAGGGATATAAAACCAGAAAATCTTCTATTGTTTAGTCACCATGTTATTAAGTTGGCAGATTTTGGATGGTCTGTCCATGCACCATCCAAAAGTCGAAACACCATGTGTGGCACTATTGATTATTTACCACCTGAGATGGTTGACTCTCAAACATATAACGAATATGTTGATAATTGGTGCTTAGGAGTGCTATGTTATGAATTTTTATGTGGTGCCCCACCTTTTGAGAGCTCAGAACAGGCAGAGACTTTTAGAAAAATTCGTGCTGTGATGTATGGTTTCAAACCTCATATGAGTGAGGGCTCTAGACATTTAATTTCAAAGCTTTTGCTTAAAGTTCCAAAGTCTAGATTATCACTAACTGATGTCATTGGACATCCCTGGATTAAAAAAAATTGTGAAAAATTTACCAAGACTAAACTATAATTAAAATAGTTCTATTGATTATCTAATACTAAAGAACTTTCAACATAAAATTGTATTTATTTTTTATCAATGTGTCATTCATACAACCATTTAGTATTTTCAAACTAATTAATGTTTGTACATAACTTACTAATGTATTAATTACTATAGTTTACATTTTTACATCTGTTACTGTTGTGAAAATTCTATATGCATTACATTTTTTTTAATGCCATTTTAATTATAGGTTTTAATATTTTGTATTATATAATTTAATATTATTAATAGTTAGGCGTTTTAATGCATTTACAACAATTGTTGTAATTTATATTAGTTAAAACAATGTAATATTTAATTTTGATTTTGTCATAATTATTTTTGATAAGTTTGTAAATTGTACATTCTTTTACAATATTTTATTGATTATCCATCAAAATTTCAAAGCATTTAAATGATTAAAATAAAATCAATAATTAGTTTAATTACTCCTTATTCAGGAGTGTAATTTAAAGGGTGCAAGCGGTATGCATTTGTATCCCATGAATCCTCTATATCTTTTATAGATGGTATGAAATGTATGGATGCTTTTTAAACAAACATTTTGAAAGTTTTCAAACATTTTTAATGATAAAACTATTAAAGTGATCATATTTTGATTAATAATATAATTGTTACTATAAATTATATAAAATGTACCAAGTCTCACATGCTTGTGGTGGTCACTATGAATCATGGTGTTAGTACCTTCAAACCTACTTTAATATACTTAAGAGGATTGGGCACATAAATCGTCTGCGCCTGTGAACTCTTTTGATCACGACTTTCTGAGCATTTCGGGCGATTAGTCCAGAGATCGTTAAAAACCTGGAGCATCATTTCAGTCGTGGACTGGACTGAATTGACATTGGACATGTTGTCATTGATCTGATATTGATACGGTCAGTATATTATATGAAAAGTACTTTAAACCTTATACACTATTATAAATTATCCATAACGTTCATTTTCGTTGCAACATATACAGGTTTAGATATCACTCTGTATTATAAATTATAATATGATATTGAATTCTTACGAATCCTAATATTTTCAAATTATATAGCTGTAGCCTTTAGCTGGTACTATTAAAATATGTGTGCCATTTAAAGTTTTATCCGTCGAGTCATAATTTATCATCATACATACATATATAGGTATATATAGATAGTAGGTAAATAGACTAAAGTAATAACTAATAAATAATATATTATACACATAAATTCAAAATTGGTTATAAATTATTACAATAATAATAAGTTAGACATATATTATTAATAACAATACAACGTATAAATGTATAATATAGCCAATATAGGATTACATTCGTTCTATAAAAGCGATTGTGCGTGTGTAATATTGTTATATACCTATTCTATCGTCATATAATATATAGATGTAACAGTATTCAAAATTCGCCTATATAATTAATTCAACCTGCCTGAACCTATATTAATATAATGTGTACCGATTACGTTTACGGTATTTGATCATGGTATAATTGGTTGCAACCTACATAGTACATATATATATATATATTTATACAGATACAATTACATTTTATTGTATATTATATTATACTTGCTACGATATGTATATCTACCTAAACACATCTCATACTTATTATAAAATTATATATTTGTAATATAAATCAGGGATCGGGCAACATTATAGCATTCGGTAAAATGAACTATTTTTTGCGCGAATAACAAGCGTAATTCAATAATTATTGGTACTGGATGGTACCACCGCGCAATGGCAATGATGTATAATAATTATTTACGATTATTAGTGCTTATAACTTTATAATGGGTACCTGTCATCGTCGTACATGATGGTACATTATATTATTATATTGTTATGATGCACACAAATAGCAAATTATTACCTATAGTACCTATAGTAAACGCAGATTAAAGTCCGTGTTGCCATTTCGCGCACGTGTCCTGAAGATTATAGTACCTAATAATGATATTGTGACGCACAGGTATTATAATAGGTTAAGTGCTCACAAATGTCGTGACGTTTATTCGTAAAATATACATTTTATATTATTATTATTGTTATGTGTGTAAGTAGGTAGTATATATTATGATGGTATGAAATGAGGCAGTCTTAAGAATTGTGCAAAATATACATAAAAAACTATCGTTTATTGTTATTGACATGAATATTGTGTAGGTATACCATGTGGCATGTACCTACATTGTTGCTATAATATACCACTCTATACCATAGGGTGGCCAAAACCGCGGCTTGCGTCTTTTCGTGAGACGCAGAACATTTTTACTAACATAATATTAGTTACCTACCCATTATATGAAGACCAAAATACTATCCCTTACTGTACCTACGTATGTTATTTTATTAAATATTTTGATATCTTATCTTATTCACGATAACAGAGATCCGTTTTTTTAAAGTGGGTCTATTTTATTCCAAAAATGAGACACCGGTTTCCTCAATTCCGCCACTGTCCATTTTCCTCAAAAAAAAAAAAAAAATAAGGTTGGATTCCATTTTCCTCCAAATATTAAAATAGGTCTAATATTTGTTTTTTTTATTTTTTTTTTTTTTTTTTTTTTTTAATTCTATATAGTTATAAAAAAAATAGGTAGGTTTTTATGTTTATAATTCAATTCAATTTTTATTTGGAATAAGTTAAAACTATTATATTTGTACTAAACATAAACATTATATCTATTTTTATTCTTAATTCATTATTTGAGGAAAATGTAATATAATAAATTATGATTGATGACTAATAAATATATTTTTGATAATTATTTAATTTGTATTAAACATAAACACAATTTTTATTCTTAATTTCTTTTATTGGAGGAAATATTATTATAATAAGGCTTAAAATATATTTTTGATATTTTTTTTATTCGTAATTCCTTATTGGAGAAAAATGGACAGAGGAGGACATTTTTGGAGGCAAATGGCTACGGTTTTTTTTCCTGATCTTGCCTATAATATAGTCTCTTACATATTTTTCATTATACTACGCAGCTCGTAACTCTTTATCACTGACGACCCCTGTTATATAGCCAGATACGTACCAATACGTCTTTATATAGACGTGTAAAGGATTTTTTCACGGGATATGCGGAATAATTACAGTGGAGGGATAAGTGGGTAATACGCATACAGCTGACGCCAGCCGTATAGGACGATTAATGAATAATGATGGAAGTTGGTATTATTTACCTACCGCGGTTATCGCGACCGCCAACGATTTTTGAGAATATTTTTCAACTTTCACGCATTTGCAAATAATTGGTTTTTAAATAAGCGGTGTATCGTGTCGTCTACACACAACTTATGTCTTATTATAATTATATTAGATTATTTTTATTATAAATACTAGCTGACCCGGTAAACGTTGTATTGCTCGTAAATGATTAATTTTTTATTAATTTTTTTTGTGGCATTTAACCAAAACTAAAACCAACACAACTTAATATGTGAATATTTCTTTGACAGCTTTTTGGGTTTCCGAACAAACGCACAATCACTTTTATATATTATGTATATATATGTGTATTAGACATAGAGGTGCTTACTCAGTAAGTATAGGCGGAGACCCTGTACAATATTTTAAGGGGGATGGTTAAATACTTGATACTAAACATGGGAAGGCCATGCCCCTAACCCTGGCCTTAACCCCGATTAAGTTTCAAAACTGTATTTTTTTTGGAGTTACGTCTATTTTTGTAATGTTGTGATGAAGGGTTTATGATGCCCGTTAATTATCATAAATAAATATTTAAGTTAAATTTCATGATTTACAGATTTTAGTCGAATTTAAACAGTTAAGCTATTAATTACTCAAGACAACAGCTCTAAATAAATCCATCAATAAATAGAAAATCAAATTTTTTAAAAATTACAATTCTAAAGTTCTAGCTGACCTATAAGGTGATTTTTGATCGAAAGAGAGGTATAGATGAACTCTTTGGATCCGAAAACGATTACTATTCGAAAAAGTGTACGCAGAAAAAAAAAGAATAAATAAATTGGCAATAAATATCATTGTAAAAGCAGCAGAAATCCCTTCACTGGTAATATAAAATAATAAATAAATTTAAATTTAAATCTAAACGTCATGTAAATTATAGATATTATTTGTTTTATTGTTGGGGATGCTTCGATCTCGAATAAATTATTTAGGGAACGGTAGGCTCCCCCCAACCGATCTCCGCCTATATAACTCATAATACGAGTCTAACTGCTGACATTATTTAGATATATACTTACTGTCCCCCACTCTCACCCCCCATCGAGGAGCATCATTCACCGTACCGCCATCACTGCCTTTACAGGTAAATGGTCTGGAGCAGAGGCTGTTTGCGCAGCTCAAGTGGCTTGAACGCCTGCCTATAGACGGACGTGAGCCTCCAGTGTTCGGGGTAATCGCGGGCCGTTGTGCCCGGCCACATGGAGAACGGCGGCAGCAGCGTGCCGATGACGTACTTCTTCTTGTCCGAGTTGGTGGTCTTCGGCTTGGGCACTTTGAGGTGCTTAGCCGGTTTGCCGGCTGCGGCCGTTCGCAGCCTGACCGGTGTGCTGACTGGCACGCCCGCCTTGAACGCCATCTTGTAGTGCTCGCACTCGTCGTCCCTCTTGAAGTTAGCGGCCGCTGCCACGTTTGGGTCGTCACAGGCCAGACAAGGCCGGTAAGAGTGTCGGCCATGCCGCTTTTGTTTCGGCTCCTTTTCTGTGGCGGAGTTACTGCAGTGTTGCGTCGGCCTATGTCGGCGCCGGTCGGATGGCGAACCGACGGCGGGACACTGCACCGCACTGGGTTTGTTCGACTTGTGGGGGTGGTCGAGGTCCTGGCGATGGTCGTTATCGTCGTCGTCACTGTGGCCATGGTCGTCGGATTTGCAGACGTCGTCGTTGCGGCCATTGACGTCCGAACCATTTTTGCCGCGACGGGCGGACGATGACGACGACGACGACGACGACGAAGGTTTGTTCGGGAGAGCAGGTCGGTCCGCGGCTGCGGAGACATCGCCGTCAGCCACTGTCGCTGTGGCCGCGGGTCTACGGCTACCCTCGCGGTCTTTGCTTGGTATCAGTTCCATGACGGCAGACAGATTGCGATTTTTCATCAGACACTCGCGGGTCTGTGTCCGTCGCGCTTCCGGCACCACTTCGCCGTCACCGTCACCGTCGACGTTACAGTTTCCGACCGTCCGAACAAAGCCCATGACGGCTGATGAATTTTGCGGTTTGCCCGTCGAGGGTTCCCCCGCGCATGGCTGCTGCAGCTGCTGTTGCATTTGTAGTTGCTGCCGAACCTTGTGGAACACGGCCGGCTCGTCAGGCGGTCGTGGTGGCCGGTTCCTGTCGAATGGCGCGTCCAGGTCCCAGCACAGGGCCAGCTTGATGTCAGTCAACTGTTGGGCCGTCATGACGGGTCCGCACGTCTTGGGCCGTGACAAATTTTTGTTACGCCTCCGGGCTGGGTCTTTTTTCTCGCCGTCCCCGCCATCGGCTGACGACGGAGGTGGCGATGACGACGATGACGTCTTTGGCCTGTACACTCGGAGCTTGCTGCACTGCGTTGGGCCCGGGTCGTTGAACGACTTGTACGCCACCGCGGAACACTTGGGCCAGCAGCCGTTCAGTCCCAGTCCCGGATGTTTGTGCCGCTTTGTCTGCAGCGACCGGTACACCGCGTCCTCGATGGCGTCCGGCAGCCCGTGGTGTCTCTGCGCGTCCCCGTACCGGCGCCCAGTCGGCTGTTCGTTACCGCCCAACGGCGGCCGCTCGCCGTCATCGTCTTCTGTGCCCGCGACCTGCAGGTGGCCACAGCTCGCGCTTATTCGGCTCAACGCGGGGCTGGACGGTGTTTTCGCGCCGCTGCCGTTGACTACTCCGCGTTGTCTTGTCTTACGAGTGCCGCCGCTGTCGCAGTCGTCATTGTCGTCGTCAGCTGTCGAATTCAAAGGTCCACGGCCGTCCGCCGATGCGCAATTCCTGACCGCCTCGATCCTGGAGACGTTCGGCGCTGGCATGTCCGATACCTGAAATAAGATCGATATGTCGTCATATTATTATTGCTACAACGCCCATTTACCAAGCAACATTTCGACTTTACTTATATTATACTCGATCGTCGCGTGTGTGGTGGCCATCGTTAGGGTTTTCGTTTAGAGAGAGAGAGAGAGAGAGAGAGAGAGAGAGAGAGAGAGAGAGAGAGAGAGAACGGCTATGAAAATGAAGGAAGTATAAGAGACATAGAGACATAGAAGAAAATTGAAGAAGAGATGGGTAGACACATTTAGTAAAGATTTTATAAATTAACTTGTGTAAGGTGCATTCGGTGGGATCAAATTAATATATTACGCATAAATAATATAGATTTAAATAACACCGAGTTTTTGCGGTATGTTTTCTTATAATTATATAAAATATAGTATAGCATAAACATCGACCCACAGTAACTTTAATACAAATATATATTAGACAGTAAATATTCATTTAATTTTTACCCACTAATAAATATATTAAATGGTGACTAACGTGTTCTTTAGGTAGTCAACAAAATGTCTTTTATTTATTGTTCGAGAGTTAAATAACTTATGATTTGAAAACCATATTGCAATTTTATATATCATATTATATATTTGTATTATATATAGGTATACCTACTAGTTGATCCTGCACTGTGCTGCCTTGGCAAAATAAATAATTCCAGCGGAAACCTATTCTTAAACTCCGTTAAATGTAAACTGCACAGATTTTAACACAGTAATTTTCGTTGTTTTAACCAAGTATAAAATGAAGGTCTAAAAATATGTCCAATCATAGAAACTATTTTATTGTTTGTAACCAATGGCAACAATAAATGAATAAAAAAAATAATAGTATTTTCAGAGATATGGTATTGCGTATAGTATTCTTTAATAGTTTTTTCAGCACTGCGTGGGCCGTGACAAATTAAATAACTATACAGTGGATTTACCTGTCTTAAACTCCGTTAAATGTAACCTACACGCATATTTTGAATTCAGTAATTTGAGTGTCTTTGATTAAACATAAAATATAGGTGTAAACTCTAAAATTATATCCAATCATATTATCATAGGGCGCATGTAAATTCCGCCCAAAATATACAGGTAAAAAAAAGATACATGTAAATTCAGCCCAAAAATTGTTATGCATTTTTCAATCACACTAACAACAATAATATTGTACTTATCTATTTGAAGTATGGCTATGATCAACATTTTGTTCAGCGATGTTTGTAGTTTCACCAAAGGTTTTCACAAAAGCATTGCAAGTTTTAATTATAAAATTCGGCATTTTGTTAATCCAGAAGCCAAAGATCTATTTACTAAAGAAAATTTAAAATTGTATATTACCAAAAGTATATTTCCACATTTTGATTCGATAAATTGAGCTGCCATAATAGGTATGTACGTATAAGACTCAAGGACGTGTCCCGAACATAAGCATCTCATAATTCTAAACGAAACCCAGGTGATTGAAACAATTAATAATATTTCTATCTGACATTTCCAATTATTAGGTCCACAATATTGTAGTCGAAGGTGAAAGAATATAAGATGATTGACAATTGTCGTCTGATGGGATTGTTCCGTTTTCGAAAATTTGGAACTTTCAAATACTATAGAACACTCTGCGTCGCGAACATTACGGTCGAGTCGTACAGTCAGGGGAACGCTTAGTCTAAAAATATTTATTTTTCCAGTCGGAATTTACAAACCCATTTTTGTACCTATATATTTTGTCGGATGGGATTTACCATAGACCTTATTTTTACCTGTTCATTTCGGGCGGAATTTACAATCTTATCTCCCACTGTATAATAACTATTTTATTTTCTGTAGCCGGAAAGCCACCCTATAGAAACAAAACAGTATTAATTTTTCGTGGGCCCACAAATCCCTGTGTGTCCTTCAAAATGCAAACATTTGGCTTCGAGGAGCACATCCTTAGCCTAAGTACCTACCTACAAAATTTCAGAACCATTGGTGCGATACACTTGGCTGTTAATCGTTTACACACTCTCGCACAAAACATTGCTGTTTATTAATATAGATTATAGTATAATCATAAATTATTGTCTTTATCAATCAATAGTTTTCCATTTGTCACACAAGGATCCACGCGACGCGACGGTATTCGGCAACGACTCACCGCAGACTTGACGGACTTAATTGAATCTCTGTCGGTTTCTTCGTTGGCTATATTTCGTTGTTCTTTATTGACATTAATTAGCTCCAGTTTATTATTGTTCTCGCCGTTCTCGGTCTTGTTTCGTTGGCTACGGTCGATGAACGGGTGGTGATACGAACGTTTCATCCACGTCTGACACTTCGGACCAGACAGTTCTGTAGCTGTGTACACAGAATAAGCGCAAAATACATAATTACACGATATCGTTATTTTAATAGTCGGTAAGAATACCATAAAAAAATGGCTGACGGGAAAATGTCCCCGAAAAATAAATACTCTCAGGTGAAATATCCTACGACTTAACTCACACGAGTGACGCAGAACTATTGTACTAATGTACCATAATAATACAACAAAATATTTTATAAATTAAATACGCGTAGTTGGCATATCATATTTTTTTTGGTTTTAACATCGCGTATTCACATCTTCCTTTGTTTAATCGAATTTTGTTTCCCAGGAAACGTACATTTAATTCAGACCAAAAAGTTATAATTTAATGAAGAAAATATGTTGACAACCAAAAGTTTCTATTTGGTACCTTTTCGGTCTTTATCTGACATTTTTTAAAAAACGTTTTTAAGTTACGTTTTGATTATAGATTCTATAATTTAGAATAACCCCAAATTATAATGACTTGGCGCGCAACAAATTTGTAATTTTTAGATTTGAAATCATTAAAAATTATTTACTGTCAAAGAAGATAATAATATTAAGAGTTATACATTTTTATATTGCCATCCTGAACAATTTGATATTTTGAGTTAGCGCCTTTTGCAGGCCAAGACTCTAGAGTACATGCAATTATTAATTGAATATGGAGTGCAACTTTATATTACATGACACTCGAATTGCTTCCCAAATTTAGGTGGATGATCTTTTTTCACTCGAATTGCCTTCGGGTGTTTTTGGAGGCAATTTGAGTATACCCAAACAGTCTACTCGAATTGCCTACTTATAACATACCTAGATTATTAATTGATATATCAATAGTTTTACATGTACTATCGTTATTATATCGATTTCCGTAGTGTTTAAAAAATATTAATTTTTAAGAAATGCAGTATATCCCAGACCAAAATCCACGCCCTAATAAAATATAATAAATAATAATACAGTACCGATTTCTTTTGAGATGCGTTTCGGCAACTGATACGTGCCCAAGTAGAGTCCGGCCCAGTGTTTCTGATCGGTTTTTTGTACCCCGGGCAGCAAATGTCCTCTGTCGTTAGCAATGACTTTTGTGACGGTCGAACGACCTTTTGGACGGTTTAGATGCCATTTCGGGACTTCCCAATTTCCCAATCTCGTCGGTTGATACGCTTTGTCGAACTGAAAACAATTTAAAGGTATACATAGGTACGACGCATATACTATTTCGCCGTGCGCGGACATAAAATGGCATATACCTAGGATGCCATTATAATTTTCTAGCGAGCATGCACGACCAATATATTTAATATCCAAACCTACACTATATATCATTGCCGATCCGTCGTCAAATCGGATTTATTTTGCCACAATAATAACAATAATACTAATATGAAACATATTATTTAAATATATTTTACTATACATTCATGACTGTAGGTATTTACGTCCCGTAGTAATATTGTCATTTGTCATACACGCACACACGTTTTTTTTTTGGAAATCTATTAAGAGGACATCGCACCCGCACGTGTTGTCTCCGTCTTATACACGTAAGGCATAGATAATTTTTGTCACCAGTTTCTATAGAGTGCTGTTGCCTGTTAGTTGTGATATTAAAGTGAATTGATTTATTAAATAATTTAAACGTAAAATTATTATCTAGGGTCCCATGTAGGCTTTTGTTGATATTATTATTTTTAAGTAAATTATTATCATTTTAAAATGCACGGTTTCAAAAAGTTTTGTATACGAAGATGAAGACAACACATGCTGGTGTGACGTCCTTCTAATGTCAAAAGCTAAAAGCTAAAAAACTATATCATTCATATATGTACCTACCTACATTAAAATAAGTGTCATTCGCATACAGTGGAGCGGCGAAGTTACTTATTTTATCGGACCAAATTTATTTTTTGAACCACCTATCACCCCTTGACTACTTAGGTATAATATAATTATACTTATTATTGAAGTTGTTATTCTTATTAAATACCGTATTCAGATGAAGTTAGTTTTGTATGTACTACAATTTTTCACTCAATACAGTACTCAAACACCTGGTACTCACCCACCCACCTCTTTGTAATTATCGGGTAACTGCCCTTCAAAATCACGGTCATCACACCAATGTTCACATATTATATTCAAGTACATACTCCTTTTTTAAGTGCCCAATTCTAAAAATATGAGAGTCATTCAATAATTTCAATCGAATCTGAATTTTTATATTGCGAACAATAGGATTCCGATATGCCATATACTATATACTATATGGCATATAGGAATCGCAGAAAAAAAGCCCAGAAAAAAAATTAAGTATAAATGTAAAAAAAAAGTATGTATACTCCACTCCTAATTAGTAATTACCCTGTGGCGTGGACCTAATACAAAATATAATATATTATAATGAAAAATGTTTCTTACTAATTGAGTATCCACATATACAATTGCCTATAATAATTTATGAATTATGAATTACTAATTATGGGATTAGAGTATAGGTAGTATTCAAATTAATATTTAATTTTTTTTCTGGGCTTTTTTTCCGCCTACCGCCATATATAGACTACTAGCTATGGCGTCGTCATAATATGTGAAGATTTGGCCTACTGTGTACTAAATTATCGGAAATTAAGTTTTGGTTTTGTTTCTTTGTACTAATTTACGTACGACAGGGGGTCCAACCTTTTTTTAGTTAGCCGGCCAATTCAGTAGGTATTTACACATTTATATAAGCACATGGGAAGGGGGCAGGGTGCTAAAAGAAATAAAATATAGTCTAACTGTATGGAAGTTGGTTTAAGCCAGTTCAAGCCAAAACAAAAAAGTTGTAACTAACTAAAAAAATAATAAAAACAAAAATGTTCAGTATATTTTTTATTAAGTACAAACTTGTTAGGTTGTTTTAAAAGTTTATTGCTATTCTTCAGCTGGTAATTTATTGTGAAAGTACAAATACATAAATGTATACGACTAATACTAATGTCTAATTTCATTCAATCTGCAATTTTAAATCCCGCCACGTGTCGCGCATTACTACAGTAGATAATATTACCGCAGTACCGCACCTATAATAACCACCAATAAGTGACCGTTTAAATTAAGCCATTATTGCCGATAGACATTAATTATTATAAACAAAAAGTGATAAAAAGCTACAATTAAAAAAAGTTTAGTTACTATTTCATGACATATTTTTTCAACTTATATAATTATGCATTGTATTCCTCTATATAGGTGCATATATTTGTCTTGTAACACGTAGGTACGTTGTTGTTTTGATTACTACCTACTACCTAGTACCTATATCGTATTAGAACTTTTACATAGTGTCTGTAAATGTACGACATTATCACAATTCACAGCAATAAGTCATAAGTAACAACCATTTGAACGTTGCACGTAAAGTAATTGTATTTATTTAATTATTATTTTTTAATTGTAATTGCGGTGATTTTAAACCATTTCTTCATAGATATAGATGATATTATCTACTGTATGCCTGTATATATATATACAAATAGGTATGTTTATTGTATATAATATATGCATACTACAATTTGCAGGTTTATTTATATAAATATTTCTTGGTATATTTTGATTTCCTACTTAAAATCTGCAATCGTACAGACGTACACAAAAGAAAAACACACGCGCGCTCTTCAGAGTTTCCTGCGCATTGAACGTATGTCAAAGTCCTTTAGTCTTTATAGATGTATATAATAGTTGCACGTCATAATATTCATCCCACCCAAATCATGATTATAATAATACGTACACATAATTATATATAGAGTGATAAACGCATTTGTGAACATACACAACACACGTACAACAATATATATACATGTATAACAGTGTGGCATAAATACATAATATATATACAGAGCGATCTCCGCAGAAAACCAATACAGCGTCACATGATTTCGTATTTATTTTATTGTTTTAATATACGTGTCAATACAAGATACATGTTACCTACCTATGGCTTTTATATGTATATAAATGGAGTGATCCATATAACGTATAAGACAGAGATTGCCTGTTTAAGAAAACGTTTTTGAAAATATTTCTTTTACATAAGTAATATTATAAGTTGTTAAAAAACAACATTTCTAGAAAAAATTATATTTTTTAAAGTTTTTATATATTTGAATGACAACATTTTAAACTAAATTTCCCCTAATCATAACACTATTCAGAGTTATTTCGATCTATATCTATTGAAAACCAATTTCGGGTGTGTAGTTTATTATTATATATAGTTATAACCAGGGACATCCATAAGGGGGTAGGCTGTTGGAGCTGTAGTACAAGACTCGGCTATTTTAGGGGCCCGTTGAAGTGAATTTGTAGTTTTTTGAAATTGTTTAATTTTTACAGGAATATTTATTTTATATTAAATGATATTTTATGATATAAATGTATATTACAATGTATTAAGTAAAAATCGTGTACAAGACACTCGTATAGTCGTATCGATTGTAATGGGTGGTATTTGATTGAACATTTTGTATAGAACCAGCAAACATATTTGGTTCAGGGGCTCAAAATTTGATGGGGAGTTTTTGTTATAACATATATATTATTAAGTAATTTTAAATTATAAATCTTTTTATAAGCAGCGAGTAGTGGATCAACGTTTTGTGGGGTACCATCTGTACTACTCCACTCCGCGAATCTAAACTTTAAATACTTGTAAGTTATAACTTATAAATTACTCGTCCACTAAAATTCAATTTTCATATATCGAAATACCTCAAAAAATATTTTGCTCTGGAATAAAGAATTACTAAGATAGTATATTCATAAAAACAATTTTAAAAAAAATAAAAATATATATAATACTAAACCATAACATATTTATATTTGCGACTTCAGACGATGTTTAAAAATATTTTCAAAAACGTCAATAGTTTTTTAAATAATGATGAGCTTCTTGCGTTAAATGGTTCAGCCGGTATACACTCATGCCGCAGCGTCCCCACATCGTTTTGTGTTGTTATTATTTATTATGCGCGCGCACTGCATTGCCGGTCGGTCCTTATATTATTATACTATAATCATAATAATAATAATAATAATAATAATAATAATAATAATATTGTACCCTGGGCCATATGCATCGGGATTATTGTAATTATTGCGAGTAGTAACCGCGCGCGCGTGGTGTGTGCCGCGTCGGCAGTGACAATGACGGACGGCCGTTCTAATTGTTTGTAAACAACAGATTAGTGTATTGTAATATATTCATATCCGTCCTCTACAACAAATACAATACGTAATAATGTAACGGCACCGAGCCCATTGTATAATAATATGTATATTTTGTATTCATAGTATTGCAAATGCAGTATATACTATATTCTATATAATATCCTGCAAACGCAAACAAAATGTAGGTACGCTAAGTATAAAAAAACCAGCTCTAAAAGTTGTTGCGCTGTCATTAAATCATTTTATAGCTCAGTCTTTGAACTATAGATGTAATTTTTTTTAAAAGACTGCTATTAATTGAATTTAGCTTGGTGACTTTAAAACACTTGATTAGTAACACACTATTTCAATGATAGTAGAAGATAAGTTCCAATTTATATATTCATTATCCTGTAGTATTTTTGAATTTTTAACTTAAGTCACCTACTACCTAGTCAGGTTTAATTATTACCAGAGTGTTTGAATATAAACTATATTTATAGTTCAAAGACTTGGATATAAAATTATGTCACAACTTATAAAGGTGCGTGGTTTTTTTTTATTTAACATTTTTGTACACGGAGTTTGGTGGAGTTATTTTGTTGGGACCGTCTTCTAAAACAAATATAATACGTAATAATTTAACGCAACATTGTATAGTAATATATGTGATACATATATATTTTATATTATTGGCTATTGCAGATGGAATATTGCTATATTTAATATATTTATGTCCAAACTCAAACATATTATATAAATAATAATATCATGCATTATATAATACGTAATCCTTAGAAATTATCTAGGTAGAATGTATCTAAATGTAATAAACTTACATATTACAGGGTTATTTTTTAATAGGTAAGTATACTTATTTTTTCCAAAAGTCTAAACATTTTTGGGAATATGTTATCACATGAAAAATAAATTTAGTCGTTACAAAATCCAGTTTTTGCAAAAACTGTTTTTATTTTATTAAA